TTTATTGTAGAGATGAGGTCTCGCTGCCCAGGCGGGTCTCGAACCCGCGAGCTTTGGCATTCCACTCACCTCAGCCTCCCAAAGCGCAGGATTACAGGCTGAGCCACCAAGCCCGGCTGTATTTATGCTTACACGTTTAAACTTCCATCACCTTCAAAGTACTCTCTGTTTGATGCAATACACCCATGAAGACACTTTTTCCACTGCTCAAAACAGTTCTTGAACTCATCAATTTTGATGCCTTTTCTGCCATTTTTTGTTTCACTTCTTCCACATCTGCAAAATGTTTCCCTTTGAGGACTTTTTTCATCCAGGGAAACAAAAAAAAAAAAGGTCAGTTGGGGCGAGATTGGGTGATTAGGGAGAGGGAGGCAGAGGGGTCATGCCGTTTTTTATTCAAACTGCTAAACACTCAGCAAGGCATGGGGTGGTGTACTTGTAAATCACCTATCATGAAATGGGCAAATGCGCTGAAATAATCTAAAAAAAAAAAAAAATTTGCTGAAGCTCAATGCAGCCTCTCACAATAACACTAGCTGGTACACTGATGTCAATACATTTCTAGAACACTTAGTGGGGGAAACCTGTGCTACAAGGGACCTGCCCTCCAAAAAATAATTTCAGTTGTTTTTGGGTCTCCTCCTCATATGTTAAAATTTTTTCACTTATAATTAACACATGATAATATTTTCATTATCACCCAGATCTAGGATTGTATAAATATCTATTAAGTATATTCTTTAAACTATGACACATTTAAAGATTTTCAAATATGCAAGGATTTCTTATCTTTTTGTTATTAAGTTCTAACCTGGTTGCATTGTTTTCAGTGATCATGGTCTATAGTCATGTGACCTACCATGGAAATCTCCCATGAAAATCTGTTGAGGTTTTACCGTGGCCCAAAACAGGGGTTGACTAACTATGGCCTGAGCACCAAATCTGGCTAGTTGCCTATTTCTGTATGGCCCACATAGTAAGAATGGTTTCAAGTTGTTGAGAAAAAAGAAAAAAAAAATCAATAAAAAAATGATTTTTTGTTATTCACAAAATTACATAAAATTCAAATTTTTGTGTTATTTCTTATATATAACATCTATATTATATCCTTGATTTTGGCTCCTGGTCCACAAAACCTAAAATATTTACTATCCACCCCATCACAGAAAAAGTTTTCAGAACCTTATACTAGAACATGATCAATTTTTATAAGCCTTCTGTCTGTGTTTGAGAAAAATGTGTGTTCTCTAATTGATGAGCAAATCCATAAATGTCCTTCAGGTCAAAATTGTTAATTGTATTATATAGATCTTCTATATTTTTGCTGACTGTTGTTGTTAAAACCTCTGAATATGTCAATGGGTTCATCAATTTTTCCTTTCAGTTCTATCAGTTTCCTTCACATATTTTAATGCTATTATTAATAAGTACATACATATTAAAATCATCTTGGCTTTACCATAATACTATAAGAAAGAGATTGGCAGTAGCGGGATACGACAGGGGTCAGTGCGGGCACACAACATCAATAAGGGTACCTGATCTCAAACCAGGCAAAGTGGAGACCAAAGGGAGGCCCAAACTTTACCTGAATGATGACCACTTGTATACCTAATCCTGAATTGTATCCCACATCTTTAAAATAAAAATAAAATCATCGTGGCAAACTACAGCTTTTATTGTTTGTTATGTGGCAACTTTGTAAACCAGATGAACATTTCTGTCTTCATGTCTATTTCATCTGATACTAATATAGCTGTACCAGTTTTATCTTTTTCCTTGGTATTTGCCAGACATTATCTTTTCCATTCTTCTACTTTAAATTTGTTTATGTCCTTAAGTTTTAGGTGTGGCACTTGGCAGTATATACTGTATCTAGGTTTTAAAAAATATAATCTATTAAGTTTTATCCTTTGATTGGTGAATTCAGTCCATTTACATTTACTCTAATTAGTGTTGTATTCGTGTCTGTTTCTACCATTTTGATTTACTTTTTCAGGTTGTACTACATTTTGTTTCTTTTAATTCTTTTCTAGAAAATAATTGGTATCTACAATCCTCACTGTTGCTTATACTTAGAAATGTTCAACTTTCTTTAAATTGTGACATTACTGGATATATTACATTTCAGGTAATCAGAAAATAAAAAAATAAAAGCCAAAGGGACACAAGCTTTGAGCTGTTTATTTAGCTGGGGTTAGGGGTTTATGTTGCCTGATCAGCAATGTCTCTATCATGACAATGGCAGGGTTTGTGAGCCACCTCTTGAACAGTTCATATAAGATTACTGGTAAAGGCCAGGTTTGGTGGCTTGGCCTGTAATCCCAGCACTTTGGGAAGCCGAGGCAAGTAGATTGCCTGAGCCTGTGGGTTCGAGACCCACCCGGGCAACTTGGCGAGACTTCGTCTCTACAATAAATCAAAAATTAGCTGGGTGTGGTAGCGCATGCCTGTAGTTCCGGCTACTTGGAAGGCTGAGGCAGAAGGATTGCCGGAGCCGAGTAGGTCGAGGCTGCGGTGGCTGGGAGTGTGCCACTGCACTCCAGTCTGGGCGACAGAGTGAGACTCCAACTTAAAGAAAAAAAAGTACTGGTAAAAGTTGTTTCTTCAGATAAACTTAGTACCATGTCTTCACTGACGTATTTCAACCAATTATACTATCTAGCTTTTTTCAATAACTTAGTAATGTTTTTCAGAGGTAACATATTATACTCTGAAATAAAATTAAAAAGCTTTTTCATTTTGCAAAGATAATGCTATTTACATACATGTATTTAAACTATGTACAAGGGGGGACCCCGAAAATCCAAATTTATTTATAAAAAATTGTGTATTTATTCTTACATGTTTAAACTTTAGTCACCTCCAAAGTGCACTGCGTTTGATGTAATACACCTATCAAGACACTTTTCTCATCATCAATTTTTATGCCTTTTAGAGCTTCTGCTGGTTTTTTGTTTCACCTCTTCCACATCGGCAGAATGTTTCCCTCTGAGGACTTTTTT